GACACACAGGCATACACATACACAGGCACACACAGACACACACAGACGCACAGGCATACACACACAGACACACAGGCATACACACACAGACACAGACACACAGGCACACACACAGACACAGACACACAGACACACACACAGACACACAGATATAAACACAGACACACACACACACACAGGCGCGCACACACACGCACAAAGACACACAGAGACACACACACACAGACACACACGCACAGTGGTTACTGCGGTGAGTTTGGAGAGAGCAGATGCTACAGAGCCAGAGCCGACCCCGCACCAGAGTCACAGTCAGAAGAGAGAACATTCTAAATGGGGGGGGGGGGGGGGGGGGGGGCGGGGCAGCCCTGCCTTGCCACCTCTCACCCCCAGCCCCAGGGAGATGCAGCCAGCAATACTGGCGGCTGTGTGTTGTTTGGTGGGAACGACGGATCTCAACAGAATGCTGGAGGGTTGCTTTTTGGATTGGAGGCCTGTGCCCAGCAGTGTGCCTCAAGGGTCAGTGTTGGGCCCAGTGCTTTCTGTCATTTCTATGAGTGATTTGAATGCAAATATAGGAGGCATGACGACACTAAAATTGATGGTGTCGTGGATTGGGAGGAAGGTTATCCCAGAGTACAACAAGACCTTGATCAGATGGGCCGAGGAGTGGCAGATGGAGCTTAACTTAGATCAATGTGAGGTGCTGCATTTTGGGGAAAGGCACATCAGGGCAGGGCTTGTACACTTAATGGGAAGGTCCTGGGGGAGTGTTGCTGAGCAAAGAGACTTTGGGGTGCAGGCTCGTAATTCCTTGAAAATTAAGTCACAAATAGATCGGGTAATGAAGAAGGCATTTGGCACGCTTGCCTTTATGGGTCAGTGCGTTGAGTACAGGAGTTGGGAGGGTCATGTTGCAGCTGTACAGGGACATTGGTGAGGGCCACTTTTGGAAAACTGATTTACAAGGATGTTGCTGGGGTTGTAGGGGTGAGCTATAGGGACAGGCTGAATAGGCTGGGGCTAATTTCCCCGGAACGTCAGAGGCTGAGTGGTGACGTTATAAAAGTTTATAAAATCATGAGGGGCATGGACAGGGTGAATAGGCAAGGTCTTTCCCCCAGGGTGGGGGGAGTCCAAAACTAGAGGGACATAGGTTTAAGGTGAGAGGGGGCAAAATTTAAAAGGGACCTGAGGGACAACTTTTTCACACAGAGGGTGGTGCGTGTGTGGAATGAGCTGCCAGAGGAAGTGGGTGGAGGCTGGTACAGTTACATTTAAATGGCATCTGAATGGGTATATGAATAGAAAGGGCTTAGAGTGATTTGGGCTAAATGCTGGCAAATGGGACTAGATTAATTTCGAATATCTGGTCAGCATGGTTGGAGTTGGACCAAAGGGTCTGTTTCCGTTTGGCACAGCTCTATGAGTCTAATAACTGGAAGAGGGTGCAAATTACCTCCAGAAGTCCCACTTTCTCCTGTAGTTCCTTCTTGGTTCTGATCAAAGGGGGTGTCTTCAGCCTTTTGTAAAACGAAATGAAGGACAGGCGAGTTAACAGGAGGGGCCGTTGTGTAGTGGTAACATCACTAATAATCCAGTGAGGCTAACAGAAACACAGACCTATGTTCTACATTTATCAGTTGGGAACATTGGAAGGTTCACTCACAGAGTGCAAAGGATTTACCACGCAAAGCTTTTTGACGCACAAGTCAGAAGAACTTGCTGTTTATGAGGACAGCAGTAGTCCTTATATTTTCAGGAAAAAACTCTTGTAAGAAACAGAGAGAAGACATTGTTTAATGGTCAATAACTGCTAGTCAAACAGAGTCAGTTTTGAAAATTTGCCTAGCAACAGCCTCTGAACTGAGATGGTTTGCGTGAATGGGTTTGAGACACACTTGGAAGCAATAGGCAGTTTCTTTAATCTTCTAAGGTGGAAAGCATTACCCCCTTTCTCCCTCACTTGAGTCCCAACACAACTTTGAAAGAGGACCAATGGGCCGAGGAGCAGCAGATGGAGTTTAATTTTGATAAATGTGAGGTGCTGCATTTTGGGGAAAGGCAAGCCAGGGCAGGACTTATACACTTAATGGGAAGGTCCTGGGGAGCGTTGCTGAACAAAGAGACCTTGGAGTGTAGGGTTATAGTTCCTGGAAGGTGGAGTCACAGGTAGACAGGGCGGTGAAGGTGGTGTTTGGTACGCTTGCCTTTATTGGTCAGTGCATTGAGTATGGGAGTTGGGAGGGTCATGTTGTGGCTGTACAGGACATTGGTTAGGGGAGAGCGTGCAAACTCCACACAGACAGAGTGTCGCCAGAGGGTGGAATCGAACCCAGTCCCTGGCGCCATGGGGCAGCAGTGCTAACCACCGAGCCAACCTTGATGGGCAGCACATGCCAGGCCTTTGCAGTGACACCCACGTCCCAGGAAAGAAGGAAGGGAAAACGCTTCTTTCAGTACGGAATGCCTGTACGGGAGCGGTCGGAACCAACATCTCGCGGCTGCCTGGTGCTGAGCTCTTACCCGAAGTCGTGCGGTATCCTGGTATAGAACTCATTGCAGGCCTCTACCAGGGCCTTCCCGCTCACATTCCGGTTAATACAGTCCTCAATCTTCTGAAGGGAGATGTAGCCAGCTTTAATCTGAGCCGTCGTCAGTTTACCTGAAGAGGGAGACACCACAGCGTGAGTAGTCAAGAGAGCCGAGTAAATTGGACCGAGATTCAGACCGGAGTTCACTGGAACGAGAGGCTCTCTCTCGCTCTGTCTCTCTCGCTCTCAGACAGACAAGGTTCTGAAAGGGCTCAGTCAGCAGGATGGTGATCGTGCAGTGGTTTACAAAATCCTGAACGGCGTGGATAGGACGAAGAGCCAAGGTCTGTATACAGTTCTGGTCTCCTTACTTGAGAAAGGATGTACTGGCACGGGAGGGGGTTGCAGAAGAGATTCACTAGGTTATTCTGGAGTTGAGAGGGTTGGCTTATGAGGAGAGATTGAGTAGACTGGGACTATACTCATCGGAATTTAGAAGAATGAGGGGTGATCTTATAGAAACATATAAAATTATGAAGGGAGTAGATAAGATAGTAAGCAAGGAGGATATTTTCACTGAAGGGTGAAACTAGAACGAGGAAAAATATTGAACAAAAAAATAGGGAGAGCCGATTTAGGTTTGAGTTGAGGAGGAACATCTTCACCCAAAGGGTTGTGAAACTGTGGAATTCCCTGCCCAGTGAAGCACTTGAGGCTACTTCATTGAGTGTTTTTAAGGCAAAGATAGATAGGTTATTGAACAGTAACAGAATTAAGGGTTATGGTGAGCAGGGGGTGGGTAAGTGGAGCTGAGTCCATGGAAAGATCAGCCGTGACCTTATTGGACGGTGAAGCAGGCTCAAGGGGCCAGATGGCCTCCTCCTGCTCCTGGTTCTTATGTTCTTAATATGTTCCCTTCCCCAGGATTGGGGAGACAAAACTAGAGGGGCATAGGTTTAAGGTGAGAGCGGGGAAAGATTTAACAGGGAGCTGAGGGGGCAACTTTTTCACGCAGAGGGTGGTGCGCGTATGGAACGGGCTGCCAGAGGAAGTGCGTGGGGACTGGTACAGTTACAACGTTTAAAAGGATGGGGACATGGATAGGAAGGGTTTAGAGGGATAGGGGCCAAATGCTGGTAAATGGGACCGGATTAATTTAGGATAATCTGGGTCAGCACAGACGGGTTGGGCCGAAGGGACTGTCTCCGCGCTGTATAACTCTGAGTGCTCCCCCAACATCGTGAAAATCAAAAGCGCAGGGATGGGGCCTTGGGAGCGGTCTCGGGGTGACGGAGATCCCATCATTCAAGAGGGCGGCAGACAGAGAACTGCCTTCCCTCCGAGGGATGGAGTTCTTTGGAATTCACTAGCCCAGAGGGCTGAGGGGAACGGTCCGGCGGTCAAGGCTGGGATCGACACCCTCGGGAGGCGGGGGGGGGTGGGGGTCAAGGGACCCGGGGAGCAGGCGGAAAAGTAGATCATACTCAGTGACGGAGCAGGCTACATGGACCCTTCTTCCCCATCATCTCCGGCTCTGAACAACCAAACTGACATCTCAGGATCGTCACCATGGTAGCCGATTCAAGGGCGGCCATGCCTCTGTTGGACAGCTTCGTCAGCAGGTCCAAACTCCACAGACTGTGCAGGACATCTAAGCCGGTGACAACCGAGTGCGAAGCAGGAGCTGCTACAGTGACACACACGCCATCCTTCACGATTAGAAATTAACCCCAGTGTCCTCTCGGGGAACAGCAGCAGAGAAGCAACGGGAAGACGTCTCTGATCCCCGTGGGATCAATGCACAAGCCAAAGGCGATATCAGGAGAAAACACAGACCCTCAGACCAGAGCTACCAACGCTGTTGTTAGGCACTCGCTATGTGATCACGAGCATTACAAACCTTCGCACAAATTACTTCCTCGGCTGAAAAGTTGCATTGGGATCGTGTCCGATGGGAGTGAACGGGAAGGGGGTTTGGGTCCATTGGGATTGTGTCCAATGGGAGTGAACGGGAAGCGGGTTTGGGTCCATTGAGATTGTGTCCAATGGGAGTGAACGGGAAGGGGGTTTGGGTCCATTGAGATTGTGTCCAATGGGAGTGAATGGGAAGGGTGTTTGGGTCCATTGGGATTGTGTCTGATGGGAGTGAACGGGAAGGGGGTTTGGGTCCATTGGGATTGTGTCCAATGGGAGTGAACGGGACGGGGGACATGTTTATTGGTCTTGGGCATCCAAGGAGTTTGAGTGGGATGGGATTGCATCCATCATTGTAAATGACCTCAGTGAACCTAGCACCTCTGCACCCAGTCAGAACAATATGCACGAACATGTCAAGATATATCATACGTTGCAATCCAAGTCCTTATTCTTACCTAGCGGAGCTTTCTTGGTATCATATTTCATCTGTACAACCATCTCCTCCATGGCCTGTATGTTACAAATCAACTCAATCAGCTTCTGTACTCGATGGTCCAGCTTTGACTCCACCTTGGGGGCCTTTTCCACCTGTCCAACCTTCGCACTCTGTTGGAAGAGACATGTGGGAATCAACAGGTCAACGTTTACAATGGAGACTTTCCCCCAAACCCATAACTGAAGAGCATCGTCATTGCACTGGAAGGAGCCATTTGCTTAATTTTGGCCAGACCAGCTCCCTGTTACAGCAAATCATTCACCCTGCTGCCCTCCCTTTTTATCTTCCCATGGCATTGCAAATGTGATCAGAAAAATGTTCAATTTCTCCTGGGAAGGTCAACATTTCAACCTGCCTCCACCACGTCCTCGGGCAGTACGTCCCTGATCCTGACCACGTCCTCGGGCAGTACGTCCCTGATCCTGACCACGTCCTCGGGCAGTACGTCCCTGATCCTGACCGGGTCCTCGGGCAGTATGTCCCTGATCCTCACCACGTCCTCGGGCAGTACGTCCCTGATCCTCACCACGTCCTCGGGCAGTACGTCCCTGATCCTAACCACTCCCTGTTGTTGCTTTTCCTCTCACCATTAAGCAATGGCCTCTGGTTCTTGACCTTTCCACAACGAAGAAATGTTTATCCACCTCCACCCTCCCCTTGCCCCTCATCACTTTGAACACCTCCATCTGTTCTCCTTTCCACATCCTCCTCTGAGACAATTTCGCCTGTCTGTCTGACACAGAGTCATAGAATCGTACACACGGAAACAGACCCTTCGCTCCAACCTGCTCGTTCCGACCAGATATCCTAAATTATTCCAGTCCCATTTGGCCCATATCCCTCTAAACCCTCCCTATCCATGTCCCCATCCAGATGCCTTTTAAATGTTGTAATTGTACCAGCCCCCACCCACCTCATCTGGCAGCTCATTCCACACACGCACCACCCTCTGTGTGAAAAAGTTGCCCCTCAGGTCCCTTTTAAATCTTTCTTCTCTCACCTTAAACCTACGCCCCTCTAGTTTTGGACTCCTCACCCGGGGGGAAAAGACCTTGGCTGTTCACCCTGTCCATGCCCCTCATGATTTTACAAACCTCTATATAAGGTCACCCATCAGCCTCTGATGCTCCAGGAAAAACAGCCCCCCAGCCTATTCAACCTCTCCCTGTAGCTCAAACCCTCCAATCCCGGCAACGTCCTTGTAAATCTTTTCAAGCAATTTCAAGCTTAACATCTTTCCCGTAGCAGGGAGACCAGTAGTATTCCAAAAGTGACCTAACAAATGTCCTGTACAAGTCTCTCATCTCAGGATCCATTCTCATTAAATCTTTGTCCTGATGAAAGATGAGAACCTTCCCATTAAACCATCGCCTGAAAAAGGAGCAGATACATTCCCACACACCTCGTCTGGAGGGGCATCTCCACTGTAATCCCGACTCAACAGGTCATACTTCCCAGCGACCTTCTCGAAACACGCTCGGTTTGACCAGCTGTTCTTAGTCTTATCCAGGAACCTGGGAGGGACAGACGGGTGAAAGGTCCAGGCACCAGGCTGAAAGTCAAACAGCATCCCGCCCTGCAAACTGAGCACGAGGCACCCCTCCCGGGATTCCAGCCTTAGGACCAGCTGGTCAGATCGCAGGTCTCTGCTCAGCGTTCAGTTGGAAGCAAAGCACGCACGGCTCTGAGTGGGTGAGTGTAAAGGGAGCTTTACTCTGTATCTAACCCCATGCTGTCCCTGTCCCTGGGAGTGTTTGATGGGTGGGACAGTGCAGAGGGAGCTTTATTCTGTATCTAACCACGTGCTGTCCCTGGGAGTGTTTGATGGGGGGGTCAGTGTAAGGGGGCTTTACCCTGT